CTCATGGATAACAACCAAGAAGACACAGATCCCAGAAAGCCTGGTCAGCCGTGTAGCACAGTTGTTTTAGGGAGCGACTATGGTTAGGAGGTCACATGCAGTCCAAGGAGCATGGGTAGTGTTAGTAATTGTCCCCCCTGTAGTGGAGATGGTCATTGTTTCAATCCATGATTGATGTCCGTTAGGTTAACACCTCATATATGAAAGTGGAGGAGAGGGAGAGGGGTTGAGTAGTCTCGAGGTATGGTGTTCGCCTAGAGTGCTGATGTCTCTGGTTCAAGACCGGTGAAAGCTGGGGTTTTTTCGCGTGTACTCTCTAGTAATTTCTCCCGGTCTATGGGTTGTAAGATAGAAGGCTCGTGTGTTTGTTGTGCACATAAAATAAAAAAAATCGCTTGGCAGTTGAAAATCGAAACGAGTAGCCTAACGGCACTGCCCGGGCAAAATTCGGAGTTTAAAACCTACCCAAAGTATTTCAGGATCCTCGCCTGTGCAAAAAAGTTCGTGCACTGTGATTCTTGAGACTCAGGCCCGAGTTAGAAGTAGCACTTATGGGTTACACCCGTCTGCCATATTGCTGATCCGTCGAATAAACAAAGTAACCTCATAGATGAGAATCAACCAGAAGCACATCCCAGAATCCCCGTTCAAACCCATTGCACAGTTATACTATTGCTTAAGTGATGGTGCAAATTACACTGGAGGGATCAATGTTCAACTAGTTATTTACTTAACATACGCTTTCTTATACTTCGTTTCCTATTATTGCTTTCTTACTTACTTCGTTTCATATTATTCATCATGGTTTACCCCCCCCCCCCCCTCTTTCTTTCCACCCCTCATTTCCGTTCAGAAAGAATTGGCAAACTACAGGACGTAAATTCGCCTAGAGAAACCACACAACAGCCAGGGGCTGCTGAGGTTGGTTCTGCAAAGTCATGTAAAGGATACGCAACTAACCCAACCATTTTCCCTAACACATTTCTTGGTTTCATGTTGACTAGTACTCCGTTGATAAAGACTTTGGTCGAGACTATCGGCTGTGTTTGCGGGCGTCTTTTTCTAGTCACATTTTGTGTTATATTTAGCATAACGTATTTCCCATCAGCATTTGTGCTATAAACGGTCTTCTGGGTGTCTGCCTTGCCCAGTACCAGTGTCCTTGCTGCTGTTGTAGACAAGTGTCTACTTTTTCATTACCCCGTACTGACTTCCCGGACAGTATATATCATGCAGTCCCTGTAATGGGGATGTGTTAATGTCTGGTATCCACTTATATGTGAACGCTATGCAATAACGACTGAGAATCATAAACCGATTCTTAAGCTATCCACTTAAAAGCTGCAATAGTTGCTTCCCCCCCCCCCTTTTTTTTTTCCATCCTCATGCATATAAAGGTGTAGAGAAATAAGCACCATTTTCTGCGACTTTTTTTTTTTAACCCCCTTCACTCTACTCGATAAATAAGCAGCCAAATTATTTATCCGGACGTACAGAACCATGACCCCACTTTCGAAAATTGTATCAAAATTGCGATGATGACGTGTATGCGTGTGTGTGTGGGGTGGCTGCTGCTGCCTACCAGAGCTAGTCCAACCGTGGCTGAGATAACCCACGTTTTTTAAAAAAAAAAGGAAGTTGACGTATGTCTTTTTTTCTTCTTGGCTACTTCTGCACACTCTGGCGGAAAGTTCTGGTTGTTCGTCTACTCTGAATGCAGTCCTGTTCCAGAACTGGAGTGTTGCGTGTGCATTAGTTTTACAGATCTGATTCACGAATGCAGATCGTTTGTTCCTTGCCTCTCAGGCAGTTGCACTCCGACTTCAAAGGAAGCTCCCCAGTTAATCGACTCTTACGACATGCTTTTGGGTAGGCAGTGTGTTTATTCTTGGATTGGATTGGATTTTTTACCCCACCAGGACATCACACAAGCGATAAACACCCGATGACACAAAGTGCCACCATGCGGATGAGGATCACCGTGGAGAGGTCCCAGAAACCGCGTTCAGACATTTGGCCATAATGATGACCTGCCTATATTGCGGCCCCTGGCAAAAGCCAGAGTGGGGCTACAAACAACAAAAAATAACGTCCTAAGAAGGACGAAAAGTAGTTAATAATGTTTATTCTTGTTTTCCCCCACGGGGAACGTTACCGTATGTCAATCTTGATTCAACTTCAACAAGTTACAATAAACTACATCCTAAGATGTGTGTATGTAAGTTCTACCCCAACAGGACATCATACAAAGCGATGAACACCCGGTGACACAAAGTGCCACCATGCGGATTGAGGATCACTCGTGGAGAGGTCCCGGAAACCGCGTTCAGATGTCATGTCAACAGACACTGCGGCATCAACGGTTTCGACAGCGATAATCACTCGAAGCGAGGTAACTCTAGAAAATTAATTTTGATCTTCGTCATCTCCCTTGTGGGATGTAATTTTTAAAACCCCACCCTGGCTGTTGCTAGGGGACGCAAAGACGGCTGAACGCGGTTTCCGGGACCTCTCCACGAGTGATCCTCATCCGTATGGTGGCACTTTGTTTTTACCGCTCTGTGTGCTGTCCTGGTGGGGTATTTACTTTCTCTAGAAAAGAAAAAAATAAACTGTTAATATCAAGGGAGGAAAAATAATCAAAAGTAAAGGTTTTTTTTTTTTGTTGCTGTTAGAGGTTTTACAAGGCAATTTTTAGGTTCAATTGCTTTCTGAACTGTAGCCGTCATCAATACACTGTCAAAACCAACGCAAGAGGTCTGCCAAATCACCCATAGTTGGGATCGAACCACAACGCACTAGGAATGGCGCGCAATGCCTATCAAGCTGCTTAATACGGGTTCACCGACATCACATGTTATTGCTTAGCTTATACTACCACTACCTGACAGCGTGCCAACCGCTCTATAAAAGTGAATGATGAGGAAGAGAAAGACTAAATCCGGTGCACTAATCGACGCTGCTTTCAAAACTTGTCTTTCCATTTTGCCCTCAATGCCCTGATCTCTGGAGAAGGTCGAGGAAGGCGGCTGTGAGTCCATGTAGTTAAAAAAAAAAAAAAAATTGGGTTTTAGGATTGTTACTGTGTAGAAAGAGTGCCGTTCTGCGTTGTTGTTTGTAAGGCGTGTTTGTGTCCCAAGTTAGTAAATGTAAGCCAAGTCTACCTAACAGTCATTAGTTCCTTTTCTTTTATTATACTGTAGCCGGGCGGCCACGAGTTTGACTGGACTTGCGAAAAAGCCTGGCAAGCAGGGGTCAGAAGTTGATAAGGCTTGTTCAGCGAGAGAAAGTCTCTTGAGCTTTCCGACCTCGCCAGCCACACTGCGTACAAGGGATGAGTGGCTACTTCATGGTTCCGGTATCTTCCATCAGTAATTTGTGTGAGTCAGACAGCAGTGTGTTATCCTTGCTCGGAGTTTGATTGCAGGTCACTATCAGCGACTTTACTGTTGTGTTCCTTGTCTTGTCGATCACATATGGTTGTTAATTTGTGAACCATACGAGTTAAGTGTGGCTCACACCACGACAAAACTTGATGCCGCTCTTGTAGGCTCTGCTTCCATATGGGTACTTTGATATTTCATAGGTAACACTAACCTGCCCTTTTCATTATGATTCCCTACAAAATCTTGGAGATGTGATGAAATGATTAAAGAAAGGCATGCCGCTACAGAGACCTGTCTAGCTTTTGTGAGCAATACGGCTTAAATCCCATTAGAAAATATTAGCCTCAGTGACCTGTATTTTAGGAAAGGACGAACGTTTAAAATCCAAGATTCTGTGCCATGATGTTCGTCCAACAACATATTTCAAATACAAATATTTATTGCTACTCATCGAAGCCAAGTAATTGACACCACCAATCATGTGCGTATGAGTACATTTTACCACCCCTGGTTTCTTGATGTTAGAGGGGCCTGCATGTCAAAACATACACACCTGCTGAACTGCCATGGCTGCCTCCACATTCATACTGTTCTGTATCTGAGCAATGGCTTACTACTCAAACTTTGCTACTACCGCCCACTACGCTACTTACACAACACAACCATTACAGCAACTTCAACATTTTTTTAATTAGTGGACACAAGTTTGGGATATCTTTCAACAAAGTAACATGTATGACACTTTCTCTTCACACTACATCCCTTGCCTAGATTTGCTATGCTCGTCCTACACTGGTAAGGTACCTTCCTGCCACGCCAGCATTCTTTCTCTCACATTTGCCTCCTGCCATATTTACCTATTCCACCACCAAGCTTCCCATTGACTCTACACAATTAGACAAGTCATCAGACATTGATGTGATCTGATGATTATTTTTGCTCACATTATTTTCCACAAACTGTTCACCTATTATCGGCACATGCTTGTCTTGGCACTTTCAATCGATATCTTGACACATCAACAGCTACAAGAGGTTGCACAATCTATGGAGGCAAACTGCAAGCAAGCATGCTTAATTAAGCCCTATATCAATAGACTCAGATTGGTTGTGTGTGAACTGCACTAGTAGAGAACGGAACCCTACCACCCTGAAATTTTCAAAAGCTACATTCAAGTTGCCTGTCTAAATTTCTGCCCCTTTTTGTATATTTTGTATATTTTGAATCTCTCTAGGTAATTACAACGGCTTTTGTTAGATTGTTTTGTTGTTACTCATGCTCTGCAATTTCATCACGCAACAACAACCAATAGGGCAAACGGTTTATTCGGGTGTGAACTTCCCCATACACACACACCAATGACATCATTTTGTGTTACTAAAATTCCCCTCACAACTATTTCATTCATACACATACTACCAACACCAACAAAGTGGTAATGACAGTAGGAAATGCCCCGCTAGAACTGACACTACTAATATACAAACATTCTAGCACATCTAATGACATTATGACAATATTAATTATGTTTATATGACATTTCAAAATCAAATCTGACAAATGCAAACAAAGTGTGCCTGCACCCGTAGCCAGGTGCAGCACGATGACAGAGGATCAATAAGACATCAAGGCAATGTTCTCTGGCATGTGAAAATTGCGTTCACTGTGTCGTGATCTCCTGAGCTCATTTTGGAAATATTCAATGGTTTTGTTGAGTCCAACCATCAGGGGGATCTGCAAGTAAAGAGTCATCAAAGTATCAACAAATCTGCACTACTTTGGGACTTTAAGTATTGTTTCAGATCTTAACTTTTGCCTGTGTGTAAAACAAATGTGCACACAGACTTTTGGAGCACTTGAGCCCACACAGGAAAGTAAAGGATCCTTCTCTTGCCTACCAGGCATATGGTTCTTTTGATATAAGCCAACTGGTCTCATCATGCCCCAGTCATCTGGACTTTCCAGTACGTTATCTTAGGAACCCACAACATAGTATGACAGAATGACTCACCAACTCCCAAAACACCCCAGTCTGTTAATAGGGACCCTTGAAGCAAGCAGTCACAATAGTTAGTTTGTAAGGCAGCTTCAGTTTCATGAAGAAACAAGTCTGATAGGTCAATCAAAGGTCTTGTGTGCTTATATCACAACATAAACAACACAACATTCCAAATGTCCTTTTGAGAGCAAATGTACAAAAAGAAACTATGATGGTCTAGCATCTGTACACCTCGTACACAGCAAAAGAAATCCTAATCTAAATGTGGAGCTTAGGGAAAGAATTACAATTCCAATGAAAGAACCTGTTGGTGGTGGATAGGACACGTGGAGAAATTTTTTGAATCTATAGGTTTAAAGAAATAATGACAGATAGAGTGAACACGAAGAAGGGAGGACATGGGTGCATTGCCGGGATACAGGACAGAAGAACAAATTACTGTCTCATTATACTTAATGGCATCTTACCCACCACACAAAAAACAAATTGATGTCATGAATGGATTGTGACCTGATGACTGATACGCATTTTTTGCTGCACCCACCTTACCAGAGTTTCAAATTCACTAGTTTACATAGTATGAAGTACAGACACCGCACTTTTTACTTCTGATAAAACTAACAGCTCATTTTTTCAATTTCTTACAGTCCCTCTCCAATGGATCAGAGGAGCAGTTTTACCAAGCATCACATCTTTCAACACTGATACCTTATGGAGTCTAGGCCTGGAGACTTATAACACACAGTGCTAAGATTCTCCTATTGGAGCAGGTTATATTGTTCTACGCCTTAGAATAGAACATAATTAATTTTGCAGCCACATGTACACAAAATTTGAGATTGACCATGCGCTCAAGTAGATTGGCACCTAAAACAACAAATCACATCTTCCTAGACTGACTGAAAAACCTTATATCAAGGAAACAATTTAATCCAAGAGAAACACTAGTGCATGTAAAATGTCATACTACATACAGACAACATTGCAGATATAATCTGCAAGTGGACAAAAGAAGATTATTTCCTATTTCCTCAGCACTGCAGAGAGAAAGTTGATGTTTTCTGAATGGAACGAAATCACTTTGAAGCACTCTACCCTTCTCAATAACCAACACCCCTCCTCCCCTCCCCACCTTCAATCTTCTCTGGCACATGAGTTCTACCCCACCCACCCCCAACAACTATCGTCATTAAAAGCACAAGAGGTCTATCTCCCTGCACTTCCCCACCTCACCGCACACACCAGAGGTCCGTCTCCATGCACCTCCCCACCGCCCACCAATCCGTCTCCGTGCACTTCCCCACCCCACCGCACACCACAGAGGTCCGTCTCCATGCACTTCCGCACACCACAGAGGTCCGTCTCCATGCACTTCCCCACCCCACGGCACACCAGAGGTCAGTCTCCGTGCACTTCCCCACCGCACACCACATAGGTCCGTCTCCATGCATTTCCCCACCCCCCTGCACACCACAGAGGTCCGTCTCCATTCCCCACCACACTGCACACCAAAGGTCCGTCTCCGTGCACTTCCCCACCCCACACCAGAGGTCCGTCTCCATGCACTTCCCCACCCCACACCACAGAGGTCCATCTCCGTGCACTTCCCCACCCCACATCACAGAGGTCCGTCTCCGTGCACTTCCCCACCCCACCACACAACACAGAGGTCCGTCTCCATGCACTTCCCCACCCCACACCAGAGGTCCGTCCCCATGCACTTCCCCACCCCACACCACAGAGGTCCATCATGCACTTCCCCACCCCACCACACACCACAGAGGTTAGTCTCTGTGCACTTTCCCACTCCACCACACACCACAATCTATAAAATCCCTCTAATAACTAACAAAAATAATTTTCACAATTTCGACTCTATGTGAAAATTCACAACCTCAGCCAAACACTTAGAACAAATAAACCAGACCACAAATATAACTGGAGACTGTTGGCAGCAAGACTATAAACGTGGTCGTGTACGGACATATGTATCTACTTATATATCTTAACCATCCTCTTGCCCTGTATCCCGTTCTTAATTTCATGCTCATGCTGCAGACTGGCAGAGATTTATTTGGACAAAATGACTAAACTGTTTGATTCTTTGAAGGAGGTTTCCACATCAATTGTCTCAGTATTATTATATGTTGGAGGTTTCCACATCAATTGTCTCAGTATTATTATATGCTGGAGGTTTCCACATCAATTATCGCAGTATTATATGTTGGAGGTTTCCACATCAATTGTCTCAGTATTATATGTTGGAGGTTTCCACATCAATTGTCTCAGTATTATATGTTGGAGGTTTCCCACATCAATTGTCTCAGTATTATTATATGTTGGAGGTTTCCACATCAATTGTCTCAGTATTATTATATGCTGGAGGTTTCCACATCAATTATCGCAGTATTATATGTTGGAGGTTTCCACATCAATTGTCTCAGTATTATATGTTGGAGGTTTCCCACATCAATTGTCTCAGTATTATTATATGTTGGAGGTTTCCACATCAATTGTCTCAGTATTATTATATGTTGGAGGTTTCCACATCAATTGTCTCAGTATTATATGTTGGAGGTTTCCCACATCAATTGTCTCAGTATTATATGTTGGAGGTTTCCACATCAATTGTCTCAGTATTATATGTTGGAGGTTTCCACATCAATTGTCTCAGTATTATATGTTGGAGGTTTCCCACATCAATTGTCTCAGTATTATTATATGTTGGAGGTTTCCACATCAATTGTCTCAGTATTATTATATGTTGGAGGTTTCCACATCAATTGTCTCAGTATTATTATATGTTGGAGGTTTCCCACATCAATTGTCTCAGTATTATTATATGTTGGAGGTTTCCCACATCAATTGTCTCAGTATTATTATATGTTGGAGGTTTCCACATCAATTGTCTCAGTATTATATGTTGGAGTTTTCCACATCAATTGTCTCAGTATTATTTGTTGGAGGTTTCCACATCAATTCTCTCAGTATTATATGTTGGAGGTTTCCACAACAATTCTCACAGTATTATTTTATTTAAACAATTTCTACTACCAGCAGTATTTCATGTCAACATTTCAAATGTCCATCCCTGGGTCGGATTGCATGTGTTCATCTGGGCATTATCTCGACTTATACTCTATCCTAGGGGAGTTGCTGTGGCGTAGCGGCTAGACGCTTGCTCTGAAATGGGAAACAAATGGATTGAGGAAACAAGGATGTCCAAAAGAAACAGGAATGCAGATGACCTCAAAGGTGCTGGACCTATTTCCGTCCATGATATTGGAAACTACACAGGAAAGAATGGACTGGTGGAAAAACAAACTTAGTAACAAATAAATGGCAGAAGATGATCTCCAAGCCCACGAGCTGGGTCAGGTAAATGGAAAGTCCACAACTGAAACAATTCGAAATGGTATAGAAACAGATAATGTGTTACGGGTTGAGCCTCGTATACTGATCGGAAGGTCGTAGCTTCAGGTCCTGTCGGAGCCGGACGTTTCACAAATGACCTTGACTCCCTGGCCGACCCAGCCTTGAGTGGGTACCGGGTGTAGTCCCTGGAAGTAAAGGCAGCCGGGGTGATGCGTGGAAAAGGGACCTAAAAATGCTCTATCCACTTAGGGCCAAAATCTTGAACATAGATAATTAATTCAACGTGTCTCCACAAACAAAGTAGGTCATGTTCCATTGACAATTTTTGGGCTGATCTATTTCCTGCAGGTTACAGATGTGCCGTTCTGTTTGCTTTGTGGAGTGTCTTGAATTTAAATTTTTACTCTGAGAAAGAGAATGCCTGTGACATAGGTTTCATCACTCTCTAAATCGGTTTTGTGTTAGACCCAGTTTGTTGATGTTTTTAGAGTGTTAAAAGCGCCAGCATGCTGAAATGCAATATCAACGGCATTGCAAGACGCCCCCATGCCAAGGTCACATGGCTCAAGGTCAACTAATCAGAAGTGAGCGAGTGTGTAAATGGGGAAAGCAATGTCCAAACTAAACCAACTGGCAGTGCCCTGCAGGCCACTTGTTAGGTCTCAGTGGGAAACATTTGGCCCACGGCCCACCACCAGCTCTGCACTGTGCTATATGTCACACATCATGTCCACAGTCTTCTTTCATATGTATTGTCAATCATTTTTTATATCTTCTCCACCTCTGGATTCCTTTCTCAATCTCGAGAGCAATCTACAACGATAACAACAACAAAACTAGCTTTAGCAAAGATCTCCCAAAGATCTCCATAAAAATGACACTGTAAACCATAACGACACAGTAATGAAACCAGCACATGTTCTTCACGGAATGAGGCAAACAGTTTTTTTTTTTTTTTTAAATAAAGCCAACATAAAAATCTAACATTCCCACCAACAATAATCCTATATTACTGTTACAACTGGACATATCCACACTGGTAAACTGCGAGGTGGACTGTACCTTAGGTTCCCATTTGAGGACAGTTTTAGCTCGAGTTATATCTGGCTTCCTCCTCTGTGGATCATCCTCCATTGCTGTTTTCTTGATTATCTTACTTTCTCCACCTGCAATCACACAGATGTTTTATTACTGACAGCATGACTCTCTAGAAGATAAAGATGTTTTATTACTGACAACATGACTCTCCAAAAGATAAAGATGTTTTATTACTGACAGCATGACTCTCTAGAAGATAAAAATGTTTTATTACTGACAGCATGACTCTCTAGAAGATAAAAAATGTTTGACTCTACTGACAGTTATGACATGACTCTCTAGAAGATATATTACTGACAACATGACTCTTTATTACTGACAGCATGACTCTCCAGAAGATAAAGATGTTTTATTACTGACAGCATGACTCTCTAGAAGATAAAGATGTTTTATTACTGACAGCATGACTCTCTAGAAGATAAAGATGTTTTATTACTGACAGCATGACTCTCTAGAAGATAAAGATGTTTTATTACTGACAACATGACTCTCCAGAAGATAAAGATGTTTTATTACTGACAGCATGACTCTAGAAGATAAGGATGTTATTACTGACAACATGACTCTCCAGAAGATAAAGATATTACTGACAACATGACTCTCCAGAAGATAAAGATATTACTGACAACATGACTCTCCAGAAGATGTTATATTACTGACAAAATGACTCTCCAGAAGAAGTTATGTTACTGACAACATGACTCTCCAGAAGATAAAGATGTTATACCACTGACAACATGACTCTCTAGAAGATAAAGATGTTTTATTACTGACAACATGATTCTCCAGAAGATAAAGATGTAATATTACTGACAACATGAGTCTCCAGAAGAAGTTATGTTACTGACAACATGACTCTCCAGAAGATAAAGATGTTATTACTGACAACATGACTCTCCAGAAGAAGTTATGTTACTGACAACATGATTCTCCAGAAGAAGTTATGTTACTGACAACATGACTCTCTAGAAGATAAAGGTGTTATTACTGACAACAGGACTCCAGAAGATAAAGATGTTATTACTGACAACATGACTCTCCAGAAGATAAAGATTTTTATTACTGACAACATGACTCTCCAGAAGATGATGTTTTTACTGACAACATGACTCTCCAGAAGATAAAGATGTTATATCACTGACAACAAGACTCTCTAGAAGATAAAGATGTTTTATTACTGACAACATGATTCTCCAGAAGATAAAGATGTTATATTTACTGACACATGAGTCTCCAGAAAAAGTTATATTACTGACAACATGGACTCTCCAGAAGATAAAGATGTTATTACTGACAACATGACTCTCCAAAAGATAAAGATATTACTGACAACATGACTCTCCAGAAGAAGTTATGTTACTGACAACATGACTCTCCAGAAGATAAAGATGTTACTGACAACATGATTCTCCAGAAGATAAACATGCTATATTACTGACAACATGACTCTCCAGAAGAAGTTATGTTACTGACAACATGACTCTCCAGAAGATAAAGATGTTATACCACGGACAACATGACTCTCTAGAAGATAAAGATGTTTTATTACTGACAACATGATTCTCCAGAAGAAAAAGATGTTATATTACTGACAACATGAGTCTCCAGAAGAAGTTATGTTACTGACAACATGACTCTCCAGAAGATAAAGATATTACTGACAACATGACTCTCCAGAAGAAGTTATGTTACTGACAACATGATTCTCCAGAAGATAAACATGTTATATTACTGACAACATGACTCTCCAGAAGATAAAGATATTACTGACAACATGACTCCAGAAGATAAAGATATTACTGACAACATGACTCTCCAGAAGATAAAGATTTTTATTACTGACAACATGACTCTCCAGAAGATGATGTTTTTACTGACAACATGACTCTCCAGAAGATAAAGATGTTATACCACTGACAACATGACTCTCTAGAAGATAAAGATGTTTTATTACTGACAACATGATTCTCCAGAAGATAAAGATGTTATATTACTGACAACATGAGTCTCCAGAGGAAGTTATGTTACTGACAACATGACTCTCCAGAAGATAAAGATATTACTGACAACATGACTCTCCAAAAGATAAAGATATTACTGACAACATGACTCTCCAGAAGAAGTTATGTTACTGACAACATGACTCTCCAGAAGAAGTTATGTTACTGACAACATGATTCTCCAGAAGATAAACATGCTATATTACTGACAACATGACTCTCCAGAAGAAGTTATGTTACTGACAACATGACTCTCCAGAAGATAAAGATGTTATACCACTGACAACATGACTCTCTAGAAGATAAAGATGTTTTATTACTGACAACATGATTCTCCAGAAGATAAAGATGTTATATTACTGACAACATGAGTCTCCAGAAGAAGTTATATGTGACAAACTGACAACATGACTCTCCAGAAGATAAAGATATTACTGACAACATGACTCTCCAAAAGATAAAGATATTACTGACAACATGACTCTCCAGAAGAAGTTATGTTACTGACAACATGACTCTCCAGAAGATAAAGATATTACTGACAACATGACTCTCCAGAAGAAGTTATGTTACTGACGACATGATGTCTCCACTGAAAATAAACAGATAAAGATTACTGACAACATGACTCTCCAGAAGATAAAGATATTACTGACAACATGACTCTCCAGAAGAAGTTATGTTACTGACAACATGATTCTCCAGAAGATAAACATGTTATATTACTGACAACATGACTCTCCAGAAGAAGTTATGTTACTGACAACATGACTCTCCAGAAGATAAAGATATTACTGACAACATGACTCCCCAGAAGAAGTTATGTTACTGACAACATGATTCTCCGGAAGATAAACATGTTATATTACTGACAACATGACTCTCCAGAAGATGTTATAATACTGACAACATGACTCTCAGAAGATAAAGAAGTTATATTACTGACAACATGACTCTCCAGAAGATGTTATAATACTGACAACATGACTCTCAGAAGATAAAGAAGTTATATTACTGACATGATTCCAGAATTTGCCCCCCGCCCCACTCGCCTCCTGTGTTTTAGGCTTGCTACCTAAAGGATTTCCCACCCCGAAATAGATAAAATCTCAATCTAGATGTCACACTGACGATAACTTTATTGAATAGTTTCAAGGTATTAATATGGTTGTTTCCCTTTCATTCTGAAGATAAATAGTTTCAAGGTATTAATATGGTTGTTTCCCTTTCATTTCCATACACGTTAGATTTACAATGTTAAATTCCTTGCAGTTGAGTGCAGGAAGTAACATCTTCAACATTTTATGTCTACTCCATCTGTCTCCAAGTGAGAATATAATTCTCACAATTTGCTTGTACATTCTTACACTATACAGAATACATATACAATCTTCCTGAAACAAATAAACTACATTAGAATCTATATTAAAAAAAAAAAATACAAGCAACAATAATCACTGTCTTGCTCAATCTCAATCAACCCCCCCCCTTCCTCTCCCAACGGCCCACAGGCACACACACACACACACTACACATGTTAACAGTTTTATCAAAAGAACTTGCAATCACTGTTCAGCGGTACAAATTGATCTAAAATGTATACAATCATGTCAAAGAATACACAAATAAGTATGACAAAAATAATCACATTGAACAAGACACAGACAACAATAACCTAAATAATCATGAAAATTACACACACAAAAATGACCTCACACAAATAACAATGACATCAAACATCATAAACAATATACAAGCAAACAATACACAAACAACAACAACTTCAACAATCTTAAACAGTACACACATAACAATGATGTCAAACAATACACAAACAACAACAACTTCAACAATCTTAAACAGTACACACATAACAATGATGTCAAACAATACACAAACAACAACAACTTCAACAATCTTAAACAGTACACACACAACAATGATGTCAAACAATACACAAAACAACAACAACTTCAACAATCTTAAACAATACACACACAACAATGATGTCAAACAATACACAAACAACAACAACTTCAAAAATCTTCAACAATACACACACAAACAATGACCTCACACAAACAACAACTTCAAAAATCTTAAGCAATACACACACAGCAATGATGTCAAACAATACACAAACAACAACTTCAAAAATCTTAAACAATACACACAACAATGATGTCAAACAATACACAAACAACAACAACTTCAAAAATCTTAAACAATACATACACAAACAATGACCTCACACAAACAACAATGACATGAAAAATCTTAAACAATATACAAGCACACAAACAACTATGACCTCTTCAATCACATTAAACAATACACAAACAGCGATGACCTCAAAAATCTTAAACAATACACAACTATGACTTCAACAATCACATTAAACAATACACAAACAACAATGACCTAAAAAATCACAATTACCTAAACATTTAAAGAATTCACAAGTAATGATCTAAACGTACAATCACATCAAACAATACACAAACAACAATGACCTTAACAATCACATCAAACAATGAGGACCTAAACAATCAAATCAAACTACACAAACATCAATGACCTAAACATTCAAACAATACACAAATAAAGATCTGAATGTACAATCACATCAAACAATACACATACAACACTGACCTTAATAAAAGCATCAAACTATACATAAACAATTACCTAAACAGTCACATCATTACTACTGACAAGATTGCACATGGGAAGGACTGGATTATAACATGTTGCCCAGCAAAACTGCCTTGCACAGAGTGATAATTACTCTAGATGGTGGATGCCAGGAATGGATTGCTGGTGAAACAGTCAGCGGTGCAAGAGCTGATCAATGACTATTTAGATCTACATGGCATCACTAGATATACAGATAGAGGGCAGGGTTTTGTTGCACAGGTGAATGGACACTGAAAACGAAACCTCACATACAACATCACTACATCCAGTTTGAGAATGGAGGTGGAGGCGGTAATGGCAGCTTTCTGATAGCTTGATAACATTACAGCTGACATTTAATTCCAACAAACTCGCCTTTCAAAAAAAAATGGTGACCTATGAGTAGAGTGGTTTGCTTCGTTTGATTTTCTGTTCAGGATATTCGGGTGTAAAAGGTAATGAGCAGGCTGACAGATCAGCTGCTGCTGCTCCTCTGGGCACATAGCTACTTTATGATAATGTGGACGTGCTGAAATCTCTCTTGATTCAAATGAACAGTGCAATAGCAGACAGAGTCGAGTTGAGTCAAGAACTGACATCACAGCACTCTGGGCATTCCGATGCTTGCTCTGTCATCTTCAGCAGCCAGCGCAAAGTTCCAATACTGATGGTACCGGTAACAATCTGGTTGTATGTTCGTCTTGCCTCTCCTCTGAGTGTAGTGAGCCAGCCAGACCTTCTGGTTACACCAAGGTGCCACATTCTCTCCAGGCCATAATAATCTTGTTTTTCTACTGATTCGCTGGTTGTTCCCAAAGGGCCATGATCAGATCTGCCTTGTCATGTATCAATTCACCATCTAGTGGTGCAGATCCAGCCAATCTGTCTGTTTATTACCCACCATCAGCATGGCCTGGAGAAAAGATCCAAAGTATGCTCACTACCCATGACCTTCTCACTGAAGCTTGCCACTCTGCTCGAAGTATCCCTGTCTTCAACTTTCTCAACATGCCTTCAGAGTGTTACAATTACAATATGTGTATGCTATTGGGGGGGGGGGGGAATAAAGGCTCTGGAAGATATTCAACACTGAAGAGGCTAAGCAGACATTCAATCACAACTGCTACTATTAACCTGTCAACTTTGTTTGCCACTGAAGAAGACAGAACATGCATAGGAACATCCTGAGTGCTGTGATGTCTATTCTTGGTTTATTCATTCACACAATCATGTAAGAAACACACAAAAATAGCTAAATGTACAAATAACAACTATCTAATATTCTCAAATACACAAACAATGACCTAAATGTACAACATTGTCAAACAATACAGGAACAATAACCTACTGGTTCTATCTCATAAATGTTTATAAAAGGAGTAAAATAATAAACAAACATACAATATGACTCTAGCAACAACCAATAATGACCAAGTATGATGACATAATAGATGATACTGACCTACAAGTGTCAGTATGATTTTGGCAAACTCCATGATGGTATGCTCCTCGGGGTTGCCAAGGTTCACTGGCTGAGAGTAGTTTGAATTCATCAAGGCCATGAGACCATCGACAAGGTCACTCACATACTGAAATGATCTTGTCTGTGCGCCTTCACCATAAATCTAGATGAGAACATGAGAGAGTGCACTGACCACACTATAATGCTCATTTCTATAAACCCCTTCTTTTTTAAAATCCCGCTCCTCATCAAAGTCCCCCATCTCCTCAATCTTAATGCCCCCGCACCCATGGCCACCAGTCTTAATCAAGGTCCCCACTTTTTTTTTTTTTTTCTCCTTCTGGTCCCAGAAACCGCATTCAGACATTTGGCCATATATATGGCCTGCCTATATTGTGGCCCCTGGCAAAAGCCAGAGTAGGGCTTCAAATGACAAAAAATTTCGTCCTAAAAAGGACGAAATTGGTCAACATCTTCCCATCTTAAACAATCCCCCCGCCCCCTCAATGTCCTCCCTATCCCAATCAATGTACATCATTGTAATCAAAGTCCTCCTTATCTCAATCAATGTTTCCCATCCCATTCACTGGTTCCCATCTCAATCAATGTCCTCCCCAAGCCAATCACTTTCCCTTGATCAAGTGATGTCCCCCAGCTTAATTTATATACATCCTTTTAATCAACATCCCCTATCTTAAAATGATTATCCCCCATCTCAATCAATGCCCCTAATCTTGATCAATTTCCCCATCTCAGTCATTGTTCCCCATTCGTAATAATCACTATCTTCCATCTCAATTCATCTCAATCAAACTCAAACAATATCTCCCATAAATCTATCAGCTTATGTTATCTAATTTTTTGGGTCCCAACATGTGTAATCAGCTTTTGTCCATGTGCATCAAGCAATGTTTGGTGGGCTATAATTGTATTCTGGTTTGTTTTTTGTGTGGGTGGGGAGGGAGGGGGGGGGGGGGGGGGGGGGGGGGGTTATCAGAATATTAAAGAAATCTTCCTAGACATATGACTATGTGGTACAGTATTTGATGTATCTTCGACATTAATGCTCTGTTACTGGGTTTTTTTTTTTCTGATCCACAGTTGAAAAAAAAAAAACATGTATGGGACTTCAGAAGTTCATTTACAAAGATGCATGAATCTGCCTGTTCCTTCAACGATGCTGGATTACTCTGTGCTACTTGTTTATAGATCTCTCACACCACATCTCATTTACAATGCACAGGTAAGTCCAGACATTATATTATATTTTATTAAATTTCGGGGCTGCGTTAGCGAAGTCAATAAGACGCCCGCTTTTAAATCCAGCTGCGACTCGCTGCAGCCCATGGTTGGTGTTCGAAACCGGGTGGCTCTAGGGTTCACCCAGCCTCCAGGAAATGGGTACCAGAGTGATACTCTGGGGTAAATGAAGGAACGTCGCTGTAGCTACAGAGTTACGTGCGAACGACGACACAGGCGGACAATTCTTATCAGCTGTCTGTACTGGTGGCAGAGCCCTTATGGTTTATAACCATGTGCAATGACACTGGTTTAAATGTCCTGACTTTACTTTTTTTTTAAATTAAATTTTAACTGTGAAGTCTGGGAGTTCAGTAGCGTAGCGGCTAGACGCTCGCGTGCTCATCGGCAGGTCGAGGGTTCGCTCCTTGGCGAAATGATCTCGACTTCCAGGTCAACCCAGCATTCAGTGGGTACCAGTTACAGTCCCAGGAAGTAAAGGCAGTTAGCGTGATGCTGACCCCATCACCTATCTTGTGCCAATTGGTCTAGCCCTATTTGTCTAAAGGCATGGAAAAGGGACCTTTACTAACTGAGTTCTAAACTGGTAGATTAGTTGTTTTGTAAACATTGATTCCTCTATAAATGTTCATTAACTCTTTCAGCCCCAGTGGGTTTAGCATCACAGGCCCAAGGGGTAGTAAAGAGACATAAAATTGGTGCATTGTGCGTTAACTGGGCTTCTAGGTAGGAACTTATAAATGTATGATGTGTTCCTTGGGCGCAGAGAGTCATAGTGTTCCAGTTGTTTTCCCCATAAATCTTCCACTGTTTCCTCCCACAGATCACTAGTGTGTCCATTTCTATGCATATACCATACAAGCAGGTTCTCTATACAGTGCACAATCTATGAATAGTGAAGATCTAAATGCAAGACCTGTGACATTATACTGTGAGTAGGTCTCAAGTGTGGATAATTACAAACATCAGGCACATTCCAGAATGCAAGTAAATGGGACAATCCTAAAGCAAACTGATACATTTAATTATTTGGGTGCCCTTATAGTGGCAGATGTATTATATTAGTTAAATGTAGAAGAGCTCAAGCAATAGCAGCTTTTCACAAAATGGAGAATACTATATGCAATCTTTGTCAATTGTGGTGAGGAAGACAATTCTTAGGAGCTACATAAATGCTATCATGACACATGGGAGTGAATCATGGACAGTTGCACAACTAGAGAAAAATTATGTGAAAATGTCACAGATGTGGTTTTAGAGATAATGAGAACACCCAGATAAAAGAGCAATGAAGATGTCTTGAAAAAAACTGACTCACAAAGAGAACTGACTGCCCACACCAGGAGACATTCTAATTCTTTGATTATGTCATGAGGACACAACTGCAGTACATTGTGATGGTGTGAAAACTGGAGTGGAGAAGAAGGAGACCTTGAGAGAAGATGCTGGACAGTCTGACATCATGGCATGGAGGAACATTGGTGTCAGACTGATCAAAGTGCACGAGACAGAAAGTACCAATGCCATATGGCACTGACTCAGATTTTTCCCAGCTGTATTAGCAGCAGCATCTATGACTCAATGTTCAAACAAAAAAAAGGATATTAACAAAGCAAAAGGTCAAAAAAGAAGCTAATGTTGCAAAGAGGCTACCACAATTGTCTGTCAGTCCAATGATAAACATCTTAACCCTGTCAAACATTCTAAAATACTGCTCCGTTTGTAAACTGATGCTCTGCCATGTTCTGATGTAAACTGATGATCTGCCATGTTCTGATGTAAACTGATGATCTGCCATGTTCTGATGTAAACTGATGATCTGCCATGTTCTGATGTAAACTGATGATCTGCCATGTTCTAATGTAAACTGATGATCTGCCATGTTCTGATGTAAACTGATGATCTGCCATGTTCTGATGTAAACTGATGATCTGCCATGTTCTGATGTAAACTGATGATCTGCCATGTTCTGATGTAAACTGATGATCTGCCATGTTCTAATGTAAAACTGATGATCTGCCATGTTCTGATGGATGATCTGCCATGTTCTGATTGTAAACTGATGCTCTGCCATGTTCTGATGTAAACTGGATCTGCCATGGGTAAACTGATGCTCTGCCATGTTCTGATGTAAACTGATGATCTGCCATGTTCTGATGTAAACTGATGATCTGCCATGTTCTGATGTAAACTGATGATCTGCCATGTTCTGATGTAAACTGATGATCTGCCATGTTCTGATAAGTAAAAGTGGTCATTATATCTACCGCATTATGTGAGTTCCTGGGCCCCATTGGGGGGGGGGGGGGGTACATCTGATTGTAAGGCGAACAACCAGAGGTCTGCAAATAAACAGCCAGATCTGTCAAATGGATGTACGCGTAAAAGAATTTCTGGAACATGATCAAAATCCAGAAGTGGATGAATAACCAGAACCTCCTGCTTTAGTTTACAGCTGTTAAACACTAAAAAGAAGCAATCCATGCACAACAGAAAAGAAAAATAACAAAGTTAACAAAATCTAGGATGTAGTGGGTTGATGTGACATAATTTTGGCTGACTTTCTATCATGGTTTGCATCAATAGAGTAATTATTACCTAAATATGACTATGATCTTTGTATTGTTGACTAATAGATAATATTGTGATAGTTTTCCGAAACTGATTTTTTTTAATGCTTCTGTGTATACATGTGAACCACACCACTCACAGCCTTCTCACATTTGATACTTTCCATCAAAAGTGTCAGTTGAGAGTTGCGTGGGGAGAGAGAGGGGGGGGGGGGGGAAATAAACTGTTGTGTCATGAGAGCCAGAATGATAACATAATGAGTGGGATGGGAACATGAACGAATGAAAATTAATGTCTTAATTATCTCATGATTAGTAACTACAATTCATGAATATTATGAGTGCAGAAGCTCAGAATACCATCTGAAACTCGGAAAGGTCGCTATACTTGTAGTCCCCGATAACTGCGCTGAGCGTTTGCTCACCATTCAGTGTGGCAAAAGCGATTTGCATGAACTCAACGGATAGATATGGAAATCAATAAAACTAAGAAACACTTGATTAGTGAGACCTGCTTGCGTTGTTGTGTGCGGATGCAGGGTACCATCTCCAAGTTGAAACTGGTAAAAAAGTTCAGACTATGTGCCGGTTTATTGTTTGATGTGTTCAGAGAGCTCTACTTGCGTCGTTTTATGTAATGTCACCAGTTATCAGCAACAAGTTGTGACCTGGTATTTGGCCTTTTTGTCAGCCTAATCCACAGAGGTATTCCAGTCGTGCACTGAAGTTCCAGTGCTAGGAGTGTGAAGCTGCACAGCAGTTACCTGTACAATGTTTGGTGAGCTATGAGAGACAGTGTTTATATTATAACTGAGGACAATGAGAGACAGCATTTCCGTTATCATCATTTTTGTTGTATGGTGTGAGGAATAACTATGTTACTAGTGTTCTAATAGTGTTACTAGTAGGTGAATCGAGTGGGCCTCAAGTTATGAATCCCAAGATGCTTGCTTGTTAGTTTTCAACACTCACCTGTTCACAACAATTATATACTTGACACTGAATGAGATAACTGTGGAATGGCATCAAAAACAGCCATTGGATTGAATCTGTAATGCACCTTTTGAATCACTCCTGCAAAAGGTGAGTGTAATAATCTGAAGTGGGAATAACAATGTTTACAGACCAAACAGTTTTGAACCACTCCCACAAACAAAACAATTCACATACTTACAGTTATTGATTCATTTTGCAGTGCCTGAAGGATGAAGTTGCTAACAACTCTACCATCATTCATGTGCATACGCGGCCCAAAAGTATTGAAGATGCGTGCTACCCTGACTTCCACTTTTTCCTGCATAAATGTACAACAATGGCGTCTGATTACCGCACTGAAACAACTTCATGCATCATAACTGAACATCTACTTTAAAAACTGTGAAACTCCAAAGACTGCAATTCTATGTCAGGCTGGCAATGGTACTTTTACAAACACAAATGTTACTGTCTGTATTTACCACTCTTAGGCAGAGGTAAGACAGTGGATTGTAAGTCTGAGGATTTAGGGTCATATGGCTGGCTGGTGCAACTGCGATAAGACTGTAGTTTAGGATATCTATTTTTACACCCAAGTGAAAATAAATCTGCACCCCTTATCATGAATCAAACCCGAGTCTCTTTCATGAGAACAGAGCACTCTACTCACCCAGCCATAGTAATAATCCCAGCTTACTGATTTAATCAGAGATATACAGAGTATAATCATTCTTTTCATTTTCTTAAAGTTTCAATTTCTGTGAACAATACAAATCTGTTTTCAGCAAAGCATACAGAATAAAAGCCACAACTCTGTTCAATTCTGCAACCTACAATTTTTAATCATTTTTAATGACTGTTTTGGTGTACTTCAGTTTCAAGTAATCATTAAAAAGTAATCATTAAATTAGACACTTTTGAAGACATACCTAAAACTGTTTTAAATGTTAATACTTCAGCTTCCATAAAGACAGTAAATTGACATTAATTTGTAAAGCTTATGACCACTGTAATTTGATTCAGAATAACAACAAATAAAACAATCAGGGGATTTCCCATGAAGATAGACACAGAAAACACACCAACATATATATAGAATATTAGTGTGTATTGCTAAATGATGAAACATCAGAGCCTATTTTCATGCTTTATATGCAAAGATAAAATTCAGATGGACATACTGAGTTTTTTTTTTTTTCAAACAGCTGTACTGTATGGTTTCCTAAACAGAATAATTTCCCAGGGTCAGCAAAGGATTAAATGAGTTGGTGTGAGTTGGCTGAAGGAATATGCTCCATTGGGATTAGTGAAGCAGAAAAAGCTACATAAGTTTGTGTGTGTGTGTGTAGCTGGTGAACTTGAAGTACAACATACTCTGAGTTCCAAAACATTTGCACAAGTGCCAAAAACAACTATCCATCATTATAGACAAGTCTGAAAAGTTACATTTACAGGGACCTGGACCCAACTGGACATGTTGGTTTTGTGATTTGTCAGGATAAAAAACTTTTTTTTTAAATGTACAAACACAAGCCCTGTGTTCTTAAGAGCATAACTCCCAACCACCCATCTGTACTGTAATTATTTCTCACCTGCTTTTCATATGCATAACACATTGTCTCAGCCACCCGTTTACCTTCATCGTAACAAGCACGGGGTCCAATGGGATTCACATGCCCCCAGTACTCTTCACTCTGGGGGTGCAACTCAGGGTCTGTAAACAGGCAACACAAGAATCAATGTTGACAGCAACACAAACAACCATCTCCTATAAAGTAATTAAAGTCTTATTTGCCAGCAGCAGAGTACGTGACATGTACATATTTGTAGATGTTAGAATACACAATGTCATTGACCTCATTCACACATGGTATATCTGACTTAAAGTGCAAGAGGCATTTACATATACCAACTCGAACTCAGTGAGTGAGATGTCAGTAAGTGAGATGTCAGTAAGTGAGATGTCAGTTAGTGAGATGTCAACGCCAATCCGGCCACATCCCCAAGCTAGAATATTTCCTGGTATTCATTTAGACAACAACATGGAAGCCCAAATATAATGTCCATCCCACTTATAACCCAGATGGATGGAACAAGATATCACTGTTTAAATCACTACTGTGATTTCATCACAGCACACAGGGAGGCTACTGAGAGACCCTTGCCATCTTGCCTGCCTCATGAACTTTATGTGTCCTGGATATTCTGTGTAAATTATTTTACTGACTGACACCTGCTGCTTTTTTTCCCCCGAAACCATACCCTCTTCTGTTCTCATTAAACCATTATGGTGTCATACTGTCAATGTATTTCAGTCTCCAAGAAACAAGAATGTCTATGAACCAGCCACCCAGACTCCTCGATCAGACTGATTCTATGTAGTAAACTTATAAGATCTTGTAGAAATCCAACACTGAGAGGGAAGCAAAGGCCAAATTTTAATGAGGTTGCAACTGAAGCGTGTTGGGTTATCTTCCGAATAACTGTCCCAAATTATCGAGGCAGAAAATATACCCTTACAGAGCCTCAGTCACGTGTCAATTGCGCACTTCCGGGGACTAGACCACTACTGCCGAATTGCGTACTTCCGGGACTATACGGCCACAGCCGAGAGTATCCCCCACTTGCTCAGGCAGCGTGGATTGGGACTAAACTAGATGGCTGGGATTCACGAGCAAATAAAATGAAGGAAGCTGCAGGAGATGAGGGAGCTGCTGCTCGTGAGTCCAAGCCATCTAGTTTAGCCCCAACCCACGCCGCATGAGCGGCGTGGAGGGTACACTCAGCAGTGGCGCAAGTCACCGGAAGTGAGCAATTTAAGTTGCCAGAAGTTAGATTTTCACTATTTGGCCGAATACGAATAGTGTGACCAACTATTCGGTCGAATATGAATACGAATAGTGTATCATCATCATCAGGCGCCTTGCCGATTGGCGTTGGCGATTATGCCCTGCCACAATATGTGATCTTCTGCAGCATGTATTATCTTCTTCTTTAGCATTCTGAGCCCCTGAGTTTTACTGCTGCAGATATCACTCGTCTCCATTCATCTCTCTGGCTGGCCTTCTCTTCACAATTTGTGACACCAGTTGTTTGCAGGTCTGGCTGGGCATTATCTCTCGAACTTCTTTTTTGTCTGTCTCGTAGTCTACGCCCATTCATCTCTCAGGTGTATACAGTTCTACTTCTGTCATCTGACATTCTTTAAATATGCCCCAACCATTTTAGTCTGTTAGCTCTCATGATGCCAGTGATCAAAGGTGATATAAACAGATTATATGTTACGCTGTTGCTTCTCCCTCTCCATTCCCCGCTTTTAGCATTTTTGATGGGTCCAAAGATTTGTCGTAAGACTGTTTTTGAAAACCTGTAGTAAGGCCTGTTCTCTATTATTTATGCTTCAAGTTTCAGAGCTATACAAAACGACTGGTCTTGACGTTTTATATATTTTGATCTTGGTGTTGCGAGACACTTTGATTTTAGCAGATGTTGAAGGGTATAGTATACTTTTTTTCTAGATTGTATTCTAGATTGTATTTCTTCTCTCAGCATGTTGGAGCAGTTAAAGTTTGCACCCAAGTACTTATATATTTCCGCTAGTTTGATTTTAATATTATCGACATGGATGTGGCCGGAGTTTATATTCATTCCATGTCCATTTTATGTTTTGCATCCTTCAGTCAGTCTGTGGTAACTAATAACTAGGAATGAAAGAATCCTAAGTATTATAACAAGTAACTAAACTTGGAAATTGTCACTGACAGCTTAGTTAATGCAGGAAAACTGCATTAGCTTTCAACAAAACCAATTGTTCTATATTGTCAACATCAAGGCTGTGTATGCAGAAGCGGGTGTAAGGTAACTACTATTCGTATTCGGTCCAATCGCAACTATTTGGCCGAATACCGAATAGTCAACAGGTCCACTATTCGGCCCCGAAGCGAATATTCGGTACAGCCCTATTCGGAATATAGCCACGTGTTGACTCTGGGCTAAGTGGAAGGAGACGGAGGGTATGTGGGAATGTCTAAGGGGTAGTGATATCAATTTTTGGCTCATTCATTCATTCACTGAGATCTTGTAGAATATGGGTAACATCTTGACATATAATTATTCTTTGAAATGTTCTTAACATTTCAAAGAATAATTTCAAATGTTAAGAACATTTCAATTCAGAACGAATTACCATTTGTATAGGATTGTTTCATGATGCATGACACACCCAAACCTTTTGTTTTGTTATTAACTTATACAGCTTAATAACTACACGCTAACAAATGCAAGTTGATGTTAAATGTCAAAAGTGACACACCCACCTCCATAAACCTCTGATGTGGATGCTAACAACAGCCGTGCTCGGACTCTCTTGGCCAGACCTACAGGAATATTAAAACACATAATGACAAAAAGCAACTGTTCACAAAACAAACTGATAAATAGATTCGTTTTTTTTTTTTTTCAGCAACACAGAAAGCTACAATCAATCTTGACTCATTAAGTTCTCTTAGCCTTTCTGTGTTCACAAACAATACTGCCCAAAAATTTGGATTTAAAAAAAAAATGTTGCCTTCCATTAATCATGGTTCTTTTTCACAATTCACATGAATTGTTAGCAGTGGCATAATAGTCATACTAATCTGTCAACATCAACAGGTAGAAAGAAGAAAATAAGGTGGCAGTTGAGACATTCAGCTAGTAGAATAAAAATCCAGCAGAGAGACTAACAAGGAGACACGTAACCAAAGTACAAGAAGAAACTAAAGTACCAGCAAATAGGCTGTTACAGTGATGTATCATTGGACACTAACAGTGAAGTACCAGCAGACATGATTTATAGTAAAGTACCAGCAGACATGATTTATAGTAAAGTACCAACAGACAATAACAGTGAAGTACCAACAGACATGATTTATAGTAAACTACCAGCAGGCACTAAGTATCAGCAGACATGCTTTATAGTAATGTACCAGCAGACATGCTTTATAGTACAGTACCAGCAGACATGCTTTATAGTACAGTACCAGCAGACATGCTTTATAGTACAGTACCAGCAGACATGCTTTATAGTACAGTACCAGCAGACATGCTTTAAAGTACAGTACCAGCAGACATGCTTTATAGTACAGTACCAGCAGACATGCTTTATAGTACAGTACCAGCAGACATGCTTTATAGTACAGTACCAGCAGACATGCTTTATAGTACAGTACAAGCAGACATGCTTTATAGTACAGTACCAGCAGACATGCTTTATAGTACAGTACCAGCAGACATGCATTATAGTAAAGTACCAACAGACAATAACAGGGAAGTACCAACAGACATGATTTGTAGTAAACTACCAGCAGGAACTAAGTATCAGCAGACATGCTTTATAGTAAAGTACCATAAGGCACTAACAGTGAACTACGAGCAGACATGCATTTTAGTAAAGCACCAGTAGACATGTTTTACTTACTATGAGGTACAAGCAGACATGCTTTATAATGAAGTATCAGAAAATGTTAACAGTAAAGTACTAGCAGACATGCTTTATAGTGAAGTACCAACAGACATTCTTTATAGTGAAGTACCAATAGAAATTTTTTTATAGTGAAGTACCAGATGTCTTGCTTTTTAATAAAGTACAAGCAGACATGCTACATTAACGTACCAGCAGGCATTAACAGTGAAGGACTAGGAAGCAGGCTGTGACAGCGAAGTATCAGAGGCAGGCTATAACAGGGAAGTATCAGCCGGCAGGCTGTAACATTGAAAGACCAGCAGACATACTGCAGCAGTGAAAAATCAGCAGTCACAGACCCACAGACCTGCTTTATAAATAAGCTACACTCACCTAACATATTGATGGTACCCACAGTGTTGGTCTTCAGTGTCTTGATGGGGTTGTACATGTAATTAGGTGGAGAAGCTGGGGAAGCCAAGTGGTAGATCTGGTCCACTGGGGATACAAAAGCAAATGAACATACTTCAGCAGCTGCTTCACCCTCTCATGAACATACATGTGACCAAATGTGCAACTACCAGGTGAGGCTTGTCTGTTTGTGCTATTTTAGGGAGGTGCCTTAGTGGTCTTCACCAGTGAACCCTAAAGTTTATCCTGAAATGTTGCTTGTTTCTATGGGCTATATACTTCTGCCGGAAAAAATGTGGACATTGAGACATGCTCTGTAGGTCACGGTGTACCATATTAACAAATAGCTCAC